TCTTCTATTGCCCTCCATCTTTCCCAGCATCAGGCTCTTCTCCAGTGAGTCCTTCCTTCTCATTAGGTGGCCAAAGTCCTTGAGTTTCAACTTCAGGATCTGGCCTTCTCAAGAGCAGTCAGGGTTGATCTCCTCTAGGACTGACCGGTTTGATCGCCTTGCAGTCCAGGGCACTCGCAGGAGTCTTCTCCAGCACCATAGTTCAAAGGCCTCCATTCTTTGAAAATGGTGATAGCAGTGATGGTAACACTTATCTGAGGGACCGTCTCTGGCCGGTCACATCCACCCGACCCCCTAGAGCGGGGAGGGCAAGGAATGTTGCGGGACCCAGAAGAAGGGCCTTCTCCGTGGTGGCTCCTTCTCTCTGGAACATCATCCCTGCGGAAATTAGACTGGCCCCCACTCCGACACACTTTCGGAAGGCGCTGAAGACCTGGTTCTGCCAGCGGGATGGGGGAACCCAGAGCGGTATGGAGCCCATCAAATGGCTAGCCCAGGGGTAGGCAACCTTGGCTCTTTTGTGACTCATGGACTTCAACTCCCAGAATTCCTGAGCCAGCATGGGGGAACTATGGCCCCCTTCATGACTCGGGGACTTCAACTCCCAGAATTCCTGAGCCAGCATGGGGGAACTATGGCCCCTTCATGACTTGTGGACTTCAACTCCCAGAATCCCTCAGCCAGGCACGCCTGGGTGAGGAATTCTGGGAGTTGAAGTCCACAAGTCATAAAAGGGCCAAGTTTGAAGACCCCTGAACTGCACTGATTCACTTAACAACAGAGGCAAGAAAGGTCATAAAACGGAGCCTAACTCACTTAACAAATGTCTCACTTAACGACAGAAATTTTGGGCTAAACCGTGGTCCTAAGTCGAGGACGATCTGTACTTAGAGCTGCTGAGGTTGAGAAACACTAATATGGAGAGAATCAAATCAGTCCCTGATACAACAGTGATCTTTGCAATAATGGTGATCGGCACTAACGTTTTGCTGAGCACAGGCTCAGATCATGCACGCCACCTTCAGCAAGATGCAAGCAGCAAAACCACGATGCAGATCGATCTGGGCCAGGTTTTAAAAAAGTAGGCAATTCTGTTTGCAGACTTGACCCTCAACCGATCAGAGGTGGACGGGCGTGTATTTTGAGGCAGTACTTTATATAACCACTGAAGCAAAGCTACAGTCCATCAAAACACTTCCTTTGAGGCCTGAACCGAACTCAATTATTCTTATTTATGCATTGACTTAAGCCAGTGCCTCCCCATCCTCTCCACCAGAGGAGAATGGAAGCGATGGCTTAAGGAAATACGCTAAACATCGTTAGGCTTTCAAAATGTTCCTTTCTGGGTTTGGCTGCTGCTGGGAAACATTTCTTCCTTCTACAGTTCAAGAGGGGAAGCCAATCCCAGCACTGGCAGGACACCAGCTAGAGGAGCATCACGAGTCCCAAATGACTCTGCTGAAGCACCACTGATATTAATGTTCTTTTCTTGGGGAGAAAATTTCTTCACATGACTCCAAACACAGCCTAGCCCAGTGTGCTTGAGAGCATTGACTGCGCAATGCCGGGATGAATGTGTATAGTTGTCAGAAAGTCTGCGTCTTCTATTAAAGTCTGCATACAGGGACCCCAGTCGCAGCCATGAAAGACCCTGGCTGACACTGTGCCTCTGTAAAACACGTCCAGATAATCTTCGACTTACGACCGGTCGCTTAGTGACTGAGGTTTGATGGGTCTAACTAGGTCAGGGGTAGGCAACCTTGGCTCTTTTATGACTCGTGGACTTCAACTCCCAGAATTCCTGAGCCAGCACGGCTCAGCTTGGAAACCTCTCCCTTTCCCCTCAGCGTGGCTGGCTCAGGAATTCTGGGAGTTGAAGTCCACGAGTCATAAAAGAGCCAAGGTTGCCTACCCCTGGATTCCTGGATTAGGGGCTAGCGGGATTTAAAGTTTTCAAAGTCCCCCCCCCCCCAGTTACATGCCTACCCCTGGCAACCAGGGCACATTTACAATAATTTGCCGTGTGCTTGCAGCCATGTTTTAGGACAAAAAAAGGAGTTACTTCCAGTTTTTAGGAAAACCAGCCCCATAGCAAACCAATGGGGCTGCCACAAAAAAAGAGGGGGTCAAATTATTCTCCAAAGCACCAGAGGGCAGGACAAGAAACAATGGTTGGAAACTGACCAAAGAGAGAAGCAACCTGGAATTGAGGAGAAGCTACCTGACAGTGAGGACAATTAACCGGTGGAACAGCTGGCCTACAGAAATTGTGGGCACTCCATTCACTGGAGGTTTTTAAGAAGAAACTAGACAGTCACTTGTCTGAGATGGTATAGGATAGGTTCTACTGCTTAAGTAGGGGGCTGGACTAGAAGACCTCCAAGGTCCCTTCCAGCTCTATTCTTAATTCTATTCTATTCTATTCTATTCTCTATTCCATATTTTCTATTCTATTCTGTTCTGTTCTATTCTATTCTTTATTCTATTCTTTATTCTATTCTATTCTATTCTCTATATTCTATTCTATTCTATTCTTATCATTATTCTATTCTATTCTATTATCATTATTCTATTCTATTCTATTCTTATCATTATTCTATTCTATTCTATTCTCTATATTCTATTCTATTTTATTCTTATCACTATTCTATTCTATTCTATTTTCTATTCTATTCTATTCACCACAGTATTGTTCACTTAACGACCATGTTTGTTTAATGAACAATGTCAAAAAAGATCATAAAATCAGGACAGTCATGTGAATGACTCGCTTTATGACCATCACAACGTAATGCCCAGTGGCCAGGCTTCATTATAGTTGTAACTGGAAGATGACCTTTATTCAATTTGATTAGGAGTGAATCCTGAAAATAAAGAGTGAATGCATCCTGGCCAATCACAAAAGCAGCAAATTGAAGAGATGAGAAGAGATTCTAAGACAGGGGTATCAAACTGCCGCCCCGTGGGCCAGTTTCATCATACCGGAGCCACGCCCACCCCATTGCCGGCAATGGCAAAAAAGCTCCGATACGTTGCGCGACGTCAAGTGACGTCATGAGTTTGACATGTCTGTTCTAAGAGATTAAAAAGAACCACATGATGGATTTCCTGTAATGTCTCAGCTGGATCTATATTTATGCTATGGGGGAACTTTTCAAAAGAAGTCACAGCTGGAGAAAAATGGAGAACCAATGTAGTATAAAAGTTGTGTATAAAAGTGCCCAAAATATTGCCACTTCACTTCCCAGAAAGTGAACTGGGGAAAAAATAATTAAAAATGAATGAAAACCCATTGGGAAATACCCTGGCACTGCCTTTATTTATTTTTATACGCAATAGTATGTTGAACCTTTGGAATAAAATCCGTTTCTCCCCCTAAAATATTTCTAGCCCAGTTTTAAAATGGAATTTTACACCAAGTTGTTCAAAGAACTGGCGAACATATGGTTTTTGCACAATTTGTACCACAACTGTTTGAAACATCTGGAACGAACTTTCTCGATATAAAATTGATGTTTATATATATGTGTATGTATATGTGTATGTATATGTACATACACACACATACACACACTAAGTACTGTACAAAACAATTCCCTTTATTCTCCCTTTAGAACAAGATTTCTTTTTTTGAAGTAGAGCAATTATGTCAAAACCTTAATACCCCATTTGGGAGTGAGATGCATGCTCCATTTTCACTCAAAGGAAAGGGACAGTCAATAGATGGTTCAAAACAATTTCATTAAGAATAGTTACAGCTGCTTCTTTTCCCCCTTGGGAACAACATTGTTTTTTCCCTTATTTGGTAGCATTAAAGGAAGTGTGCAAGCACAGACTTCGTGAAAACAAAATCTACAGGTCCAGCTGTTTAGCAGACTAGATAGCAAGGCTTTAGTCAGAAAAGATTGATTATTCAGCGGGATTGGCAACGGGGAAGAGATAAAGAGATCACAGTTGAAATTTTACATCCATTTACAGTCTCATTTTCATTTTAAAAAATGAAATTATACAGTTGCAGATGTATTATTCAGTCTGCGAAGAGTTTGTTGGTTTGGATAGTGCTGATCCCAGCCTGAGACCCAGCCTGACAAGATATAGAGCAGGGGTCTTCAAACTTGGCCTTTTATGACCCGTGGCATGGCTGGCTGAGGAATTCTGGGAGTTGAAGTCCACAAGTCATAAAAGGGCCAAGTTGGAAGACCCCTGATATAGAGTCACCCAAGCTCTAAGCTTGCCCATGTTTTGAGGAAGCCACAAAACGTCAAAATAAGCCTCTTGACCAGAGGTCTTCAAACTTGGCGACTTTAAGACTTGTGGACTTCAACTCCCAGAATTCCTCAGCCAGCCCAGCTGGCTGAGGAATTCTGGGAGTTGAAGTCCACAAGTCTTAAAGTCGCCAAGTTTGAAGACCGTACTCTTGGACTTACAGATGGCATCTTCTTGCTCAAGTATCTATACATACAGATTCTTCCATCCTTTCCAGGTTGGTAAAATGAGGACCCAGATAGTTGGGGGCAAATGTGCTGACGCAGTAACTACTCAGAGAGTGTTGTAAGGCATTGTGGAACGGTATATAAGTCTAAGTGCTACTGCTACTCCTCCCACATATCACCATTTCTTTAACGACGGTTTGAAGCGGTGATAGGACTGACAAAAGTGCCTTATGACCCATCCTTAAAGTCGCCACCAGTCACATGATCAACAAAGATTGAGGTGATTTGACTCACTTCTAATAGTAACCGGCCCTCTTTGAGGGAGACGGACGGTTCAGAAATGTGAAAAATAAATAAACGGAACAAAAATAAATATCTGAAAGGGATATTTAAAGACAGTGTTGGTGGGAACGTTAGCAAGCATTGAATGGAAACAGGGACTCTGTTTTCCTACTATTATCAGAAATAAAACAGTAACCTGATCCACTTATATATATATATGCACTGAGAGGGAAAGAGCTTTGTGTAGTTGCAACAAGGAAACAAACAAGCAAAAAATTGTGTTACCAGAAACCGCTCCTCTTTTTCCAACCATCTCTGGTCTTCCTCCATTTCCTGCTGCTGTCGTATCAATCGCTCTTCCATTAGATGTGCTGGTAGGACATGTCCCATTCCGCGCATATCCAAACTGCCGGAATCCTACAAAGCAGGGTGGGTGAACAGAAAAGAGACAAGGTAAAAGGTTAAACTTTCAATGATATTAATTTTAATGTGATTGTCATCAATAATAATAATAATAATAATGATAAAGTTGGAAGGGACCTTGGAGGTCATCTAGTCCAACCCCCTGCTCAAGCAGGAAACCCTATACCATTTCGGACAAATGGCTGTCCAGTTTCTTCTTAAAAACTTCCAGTGTTGGCGCATTCACTGCTTCTGGAGGCAGGTTGTTCCACTGGTTAATTGTTCTAACTGTCAGGAAGTTTCTCCTTAGTTCTAGGCTGCTTCTCTCCTTGATCAGTTTCCATCCGTTGCTTCTTCTCCTGCCTTCAGGTGCTTTGGAGAATAGCTTGACTCCCTCTTCTTTGGGGCAGCCCTTGAGATACTGGAAGACTGCTATCATGTTCCCCCCTCGTCCTTCTCTTCATTAAACTAGACAGACCCAATTCCAGCAACCGTTCCTTATATGCTTTAGCCTCCAGTCCCCTAATCATCTTTGTTGCTCTTCTCTGTACTCTTTCTAGAGTCTCAGCATCTTTTTTACACCGTGGTGGCCAAAACTGGATGCAATATTCCAAGTGTGGCCTTACCAAGGCATTGTAAAGTGGTATTAACACTTCACGTGATCTTTATTCTATCCCTCTGTTAATGCAGCCTAGCACTGTGTTGGCCTTTTTGGCAGTTGTAGCACACGGCTGGCTCATATTTAAGTGATTGTCCACTAGGATTCCGAGATCCCTCTCACAGTTACTACTTTTCTTTTTAAAGAAAAGTATATACTTGTTCTCTGGGTTATGGGGAAAAAATGCGGAAAACAATGTAGTACCAATGGCCTAATACGTTAGCTTTGGTGGTAAGGCAGAACATAGAATACAGAATAAGAGTTAGAAGAGATCTTGGAGGTCTTCTAGTCCAGCCCCCTGCTCAAACACGAGGGCCTATATCACACCAGGCAAAGGGATGTTCAACCTCATTTTAAAAACCTCCAATGATGGAGCATCCACAACTTCTGGAGGCGAAGCTGTTCCACTGATAATTATGTTCTCCCTGGGAAGAAGTTTCCCCTTAATTCTCGGTTGGATCTCCTTGATAAGTTTCCATCTATTATTTCTTCTCCTGCCCTCAGATGTTTGGATAATAGGTCAAGCCCCTCTTTGAAAATTGCTACCATGAAACCCCCTAGATCAGGGGTCTCCAACCTTGGCAACTTTACGACTTGTGGACTTCAACTCCCAGAATTCCTCAGCCAGCCATGCTGGCTGAGGAATTCTGGCAGTTGAAGTCCACAAGTCGTAAATTTGCCACGGTTGGAGACCCTGCCCTAGACCTTCTTGTCAATAGACTAGACATACCCAATTCCCGCAACGGTTCTTTGTGTGTTTTAACCTCCCGCCCCCTAATCATCTTTATTGCTCTTCTCTGCACTCTTTCTAGAGACTCAATATCCTTTTTGTATTGTGGCGACCAAAACTGGGCGCGGTATTCCAAGTGTGGCCTAACCAGTGCCGTAATAAAGTGGTGCTGGATTTTTTCAGATTAAAACCAAACACCGCCACGAAACCCAAACCTATCTAACCTAATTCAATACTCACTTCAAGAGTTGTTCATGCAAGAATTTAAAACCAAAGTCTGGGTAGCAGAAAAGGCCCATCAGGCAGAAAATATGCTTCACAAAGAGGCACAAATAAAAAGAGAGACTTTTAAGGTAACAAATGCTTGGAGACTTCACCTAACAGTGGACTTCTTTGTATTAGGAAAAACCACAGGTGACTCAAGTAGCAATTAAGTCAATGCTTGGCATTATGATCCCATGTTCCCAGGACTGGCGTCCCTTCATATCTTGACAATACGATTTCCAAAACGGCCAGACAGCCTGTTTGAATGCTGAGAGCTCTATAGCTTTAATGTATCTCAAAGTCATGAAGTTGTGAAGTTTGCTCCACCCAAGCCACACCGAGACACACATACACATTTATTGACTTTACTGACAATTTTGTGGCACTCCAAACAAGCCTTCTTTCTCAGCAAGGAAGAATTCCTGTATTATAACATGAACGATCAGCAAAGGTTTCAAATGCTTTCTGCTGATCCATCATTCCTATATGAAGCACGCATGTCTCTAAGTCAGGGGTCTTCAAACTTGGCCCTTTTAATGACTTGTGGACTTCAACTCCCAGAATTCCTCAGCCAGGCACATGTGCCTGGCTGAGGAATTCTGGGAGTTGAAGTCTGAGTTTGTTCTGATACATGTTGACTATGGGCTGGGGCAAATTAAGGAAAACAAGGAGCTACTCTGAATTTAGGAGATGAAACAGATGAAAAATGAATTAAGAAGCAAACTTTCTCTTTCTCCCTCAGTTACCTATGTGTGAGTGTGTACATGCACACACACACAAAGCTCCCCGTGTTTTTGCGCTGCAGAAAAGACGACGCCAGAAAGGTATACAAAAACTGTATGCTAAGATGGATGCCCCTCTACTCACGCTTTGAGAAACATCTGTAATACTTTTTCTTTCAAATATTTTCTTTATTGTAGCTCTCTGCTAAAAATGGCATTCAAGGAAGCAACCAATAAAATACAGATTTATTTAAAAAAAAAACCCACCTCTATCTGGTTTTAATTATGTTTTAAGATCTGGGTTGGGGTTTCTTTCTTTCTACTTTGACACTTGCAAAAAGCACAAGAAAAGAAGTAACAAGAATGATCTGACTAAACGTTCTGTCCCCAAGAAGTATTTTTAAACCAGGGGCCTTAAAACGTGGCAACTTTTAAGACTTGTGGACTTCAACTCCCAAAATTCCTCAGCCAGCCAGGGCTGGCTGAGGAATTCTGGCAGTTGAAGTCCACAAGTCTTAAAAGTTGCCAAGTTTGAAGGCCCCTGGTTTAAATGCTAATCAGTGCCTGAATGAAGTTCTACCCTATTGGCAAACAACCAGAAATGGAGACAGACTGGTCTCCTTTGATGGCAGTCACAGTGGCAGGCAACTGGAAAGGCCTTTAACAACCACACCAATCTGCTTGAGATAATATTGTTTGAAATGGCCTCACCCCAATTTCTGCAAGGCTTTACAAAGCATAGCCAACGGTCTGCAGTGCTTTACAAAGCACAGCCAACTGCATCCAGGAATGATCCAATAGCTGAAGAAATCACTATGACGCAAGAGTCACAGGCTGATCCCAAGTCAATAATATAGTGAGGCATTCCGGAACAGCTGAAGCTTCAAAATACATTGGAAACTATGCAGAGACAATCCAACAGGGAGGATAGTTCAGGGGGGTCTTCCCAACTTGGCCCTTTTATGACTTGTGGACTTCAACTCCCAGAATTCCTCAGCCAGTGTGCCTGGCTGAGGAATTCTGGGAGTTGAAGTCCACAAGTCATCAAAGGGCCAAGTTGGAAGACCCCTGGGATAGTTAAACAAAAGCCTCATCGTTGCCCGTTACAGGGTGGAATCAAAGCTGCTGGTTACTCAACCAGCCATCCATCACCTGCGTTCATAATCCACGCAAAGGTCTAACATGCTTGTGATAAATCTCACCTCTCCAAGTGTTGTCTCCATACCTTCAGAGCAAGGATGGGCAACGATGGCCCCCTTGATGACCCGTGGACTTCAACTCCCAGAATTCCTGAGCCAGCTGTGAAGTCCACAGGTCGTCAAAGGGCCATAGTTACCCATCTCTGCCAACTTGTATGCTTACATCACTGCTACAGTAAAGCTTCTAGTGCAGGGGTCTTCCAACTTGGCCACTTTAAACTTGTGGACTTCAAAGGAAGATTTGGGAAGTGTGTATGTGTGTGAGGATCCATGCTCTCTGGGAATGTGTACATCAGTGTGTCAGCTGGCTGAGGAATTCTGGGAGTTGAAGTCCACACGTCTTAAAGTAGCCAAGTTTGAAGGCCCCTGTTCTAGTGAATTCTAGCTTCTGTTCAATCACGCTACTTCCAAATTTGCCATCAACGGGATTCCACCCATTTCACTGCCGCCAACATCATTTTAGCTTCAACATTTTTTGGCCCTGTGCGGTGGATTGATCTGGTCTTTGAATGTCAAGTAGACATGTCCATCGTAAGTGTTAATACAAAGCCATTCAGATCATCTAACCTTTGGGAGTTGGGCAACTTCATTGGTCTCATTGAACCTCTGCCAAAGATGTAAGCCACGCCAATTCTAGCAGAACTGTAAAAATTTCCTCCCATCTAGATTACAATAATCTACCTAACAGAAAGAAGTGAACTAAAGCTACAGCCTGCCAAATAAGGCATAAATATCAGTAATGACATACCCACCACACTTGCCACGGAAGTCATGAAATCTCAAGACTGTCTCAGAATTTTAAGTGGCTGAATCACAAGCCACAGGAATAACAGAAGAACAGAGTTGGAAGGGACCTTGGAGGTCATTTAGTCCAACCCCCCCTGCTCAAGCAGGAGACCTTATACCATTTCTGACAAAAGGGCTGTCCAGTCTTTTCTTGAAAGGCTCCAGTGATGAAGCACCCACAACTTCAGAAGGCAAGCCGTTCCATTCGTTGTTCAATTATTCCTAAACAGCTCTTTGGTATGGGCTAACACTTGACAGTCCCCATGAGCTCACGGGAGGTATCCATGAGCCATCTAAAATTTATCAGAAAGATTAACTGACAAATTTAGGTTGCCCTTCAATTCCACCATAATATTTAAGGAATATGGGCATGGGGCCGCAGTAGTTAAAATGCGGTATTGCGGGCTAATTCTGCTGCCTGCTTGCTGCCTGCAATTTGATAGTTCGATCCTCACTGGCTCAAGGTTGACTCAGCCTTCCATCCTTCTGAGGTCGGTAAAATGGGGACCCAGATTGTTGGGGACAATAGGCTGACTCTGTAAACTGTTTAAGAGAGGGCTGTAAAGCACTGTACGTCTAAGTACGTCTAAGTCAGTGATGGCGAACCTTTTAGAGGCCAATGTCATGTGTCTGATTAACGAAACACTTAAAAGGACTTTCAGGCATATTTTCTCCTAAAAGCATTTATTAAGGTTACAGAGACGTCAGTACAGCATGGTGGAAATGCTTAGGTCTGGCTTCTCTTCCGTTACGCATAACATTCCAAGCATTTCCCACTCCCTTATTTTGGGGTCATGGTTCACATCTTCCAATCAACTTGGAAGATGTGATTTACTTCCGGTTTCTTTCTCCCCTGCTATCCTTATGCTCCTCCCTCTTTCCCAGTTGCTGGTTTAACTATATAAATACCAGACAGTTCTGCATATTGTCAAAGCAAGAATATACAGTATTTGCAGCGTTGACAGCCGAGTGCCCAAACTGCAAACCAAAAACTACTTATTTATTGCCGGGTGCCAGGTGGGCGTGGCCCACTGGTTGGGTGTGGCTGTGGTGGTCATGGCAGACTGGGTGGGTATGGCCAAGGTGGGTGTGATCACCTCGATGTTGCTCGTGGGGAGGGATGCCTGTGGGGGCCAGGCAGGGTTGGGGGAGATCCAGGGGGTCTCTGGCAGGTGGGGCGGTGGGCAGGAGGCTCGTCCTGCCGGGTGAGGCGAGGCAAGGTGAGGCAGGGTGGCGGTGCCATTGTCACAGGGCAAGGCGAGGCAGGGGCCGGGGCGGCTGCTGCCTGACACCATCGGCCCCCACACACAGAGGCCAGCGAGCACATGGGTGCTGGGATGCATCTGGCCACGTGGGACCTCGGCGAGTTAGCGGGCGGCTGGTTGAAGAGGGATGGTTGCCATCTCCAGGGCGTGGCGCGTGTGCCCACAGAGAGGGCTCTGTGTGCCACCTCTGGCACGCGTGCCATAGGTTCGCCACCACTGGTCTAAGTGTGATTGCTGGTGCTATAATATGTGCATTACCACAGACACTTCAAAAAGAGAGAGAGGGGGAGAAGGTCTGTGAAGTAACTGGGTGGAAATTACCTCCATGTTGGGTTGCCACATGGATATTTCTTGAGGCCGATGGTTCCAGGAATCTGTTTGATCCAACAGAGAAGCTTGTCCTGGATAAATGCTACCTGCCAGGGATGGAATTCCATGGGAACCGGGATAGCCTGAAACCTACCGAAAGACACAGAGAAAGGCTTCAGGACACTATGAAGTCTTACACCAGAACTTCCCGTGCTGCAGGAATTTAAAATAAAATAAATGCAGTGGCAGGAGAGATGTGGAAAAGTAATCGGAGGGGGAAAAAAATAATTGGCACTGTTGCTTGCAATCAAAATGTGACGTATGAGCTGCGAGTCCGGGAGGAGCTCCAAAGTATGAGCTAGCCCAGTGTAGAGCAAGGGTCTTCAAACTTGGCCCTTTTATGACCGGTGGACTTCAACTCACGCTGGCTGAGGAATTCTGAGAGTTGAAGTCCACAAGTCACAAAAGGGCCAAGTTTGAAGACCCCTGGTGTAGAGCAAGACTGGAGACAGCATATCCCTACAGTCAGATGGCCTCTGACCCCGTAACTACTTGCCGGAATAAATCCTATCCTAGCCAGACCCTGACAGCCTTCCAAGCATTTCAACAGCAACTCAGTTGCATCAGCTGTTCAACTTGGGGTTCAACTGGATAGCAAACGGATGGTGCTTAACCTCTTAAAGATAACATCACCCAGCAGTGTCATGTCATTGTTAAACTGGAATGGAGAGAGCACCAAATCATGAGGGACCTCATGATGGACGGCCATTGGATTCAATCTCCCTCCACCGGCGCTACAGACTGGAACCATCTCATTAAGTCGGAACAACTGCTGCAGAAGGGTCTCTCCCATTCCCAACTTCTAGTGCTGGCCCATAAAGGTATCTTGGTCATTGACCTCAAAAGTCACAGAGAGTTGAAGCAGTACCACGAAAGTGTCCCTCCCACCGAAAGCCACCCACAAGTATACTCCATGTAGTTTAACTGCCCTTGAACCCAGACGTGGTCTCTAACAGAAGGCCACCTGAAGAAACTAGAAGCATTTGAAATGTGGATTTACAGGCGGCTGTTACGTAGAAGCTGGGTTGACAAGATCAGAAATGAGGAGGTGATCAGCCGCCTGGGAAAGCCCAGGGAAATCATCAAAACAATGAAAAAACGAAAATTAGAATATTTCAGAGATGTGATGCGACACCTAGATACATACGGCATACTCCATTTAATCCTCCAGGGAAGGATTGAAGGCAAACAAGGTCCAGGCAGAAGAAGAACATTGTGGCTTCAAAATCTAAGGGACTGGTTTAGACAAAACTCAGCAGCACTTTTTCGTGTGACTGCTGATACAAACAGGATCGCCAACATGATCGCCAACGTCCGATAATGGATATGGCACAAGAAGAAAGAAGAACCCAGACTAAAAAAGAGTCAAGGTCATCCACGTCCTTCTGGCCAGCTGTCATTGCAAACCTACCACCTTCTCAACAAAAAAAGAAGGCTGAAGACTAGATTATAAATGCTTCCAGTCAACTGGGTCACGTTGATTTCTTGACAGGAGGCATAGCAAGATCCACCAAGGCTGGAGGCGTCACCCTCTCACCCAAGAAAGCATTTTCCATGTTGTGTGATCCATCTTCCCGTCACCTGCCTAGAGGCTTTCACAAGCCTAGTATCCTGAGAAACCCAGCCCTCTTCATCTGAACAAGCTCACACTCATCCTGAATGACCTCACGTGAGGTAATCTCAGTCAATTCCACAGAAACAGCCCATCTGGCCTCCAACTCAGACAAGATCCTAGGGACTTTTTTCCACCCGATACTCCGAGTATGATTCACAGAGCATCAAACAAATGCCATTTTAGCCCATTCTTGCCTAAAATGGTTTGAGTCACTTAAACAAACAAACAAAAAAAACCTAATTGCAGTAAGAGTGGTGAAATATTAAAATGTTGCATGAATTAAGTGAAACGTGTGAACATGCCAGACTTATGACCTCACCACCGTTGTTAAATGAGACATCGCCATTGCGTTTGCTTGTTGGAACGCCAGCTGCGAATGAAATCAAATGACTGAAGGGATACTACAATAGTAGTAAATCTGACAGCCAGTCGTAAAGAGAGAGTCATCCAGGTCGTGGTTGTCCTAAATGTGCTTGTTGAACGCCAGCTGTGACTGGTTGTCCTAAATGTGCTTTTTCCAAAAGACAACTGGACTTTCTTGCTTTTTCCTTGAAAGTGTTTTCACTTAATGATAATAATAAAGTTGGAAGGGACCTTGGAGATCATCTAGTCCAACCTCCTGCTCAGGCAGGAAACCCTATACCATTTCGGATAAATGGCTGTCCAGTCTCTTCTTAAAAACCTCCAGTGTTGAAGCAGTCACAACTTCTGGAGGGAGGTCGTTCCACTGGTTAATTATTCTGACTGTCAGGAAATTTCTCCTTAGTTCTAGGTTGCTTCTGTCTTTTATCAGTTTGCATTCGTTGCTTCTTGTCCTGCCTTCAGGGGCTTTGGAGAATATAATAATAATAATAATAATAATAATAATAATAATGATGATGATGATGATGATGATGATGATGATGATGATGATGATGATGATGATGATAAAGTTGGAAGGGACCTTGGAGGTCATCTAGTCAAACCCCCTGCTCAGGCAGGAAACCCTATACCATTTTGGACAAATGGCTGTCCAGTTTCTTCTTAAAAACTTCCAGTGTTGGTGCATTCACCGCTTCTGGAGGCAGGTTGTTCCACTGGTTAATTGTTCTCACTGTCAGGAAGTTTCTCCTTAGTTCTAGGTTGCTTCTCTCTTTGGTTAGCTTCCACCCGTTGCTCCTTGTCCTGCCTTCAGGCGCTTTGGAAAATAGCTTGACTCCCTCTTCTTTGGGGCAGCCCCTGAGATAATGGAACACTGCTATCATGTCCCCCCTCGTCCTTCTCTTTGTTAAACTAGACATCCCCAATTCCAGCAACCGTTCCTTGTATGTTTTAGCCTCCAGACCTCTAATCATCTTTGTTGCTCTTCTCTGCACTCTTTCTAGAGTCTCAACATCTTTTTTACATCGTGGTGACCAAAACTGGATGCAGGATTCCAAGTCTGGTCTTACCAAGGCATTGTAAAGTGATATTAACACTTCACGTGATCTTGATTCTGTCCCTCAGTTAATGCAGCCTAGCACTGTGTTGGCTTCTCATCCATGAAGCTTCTTCAGCTTCTTCTAAGCTTCTTGGATAAGAAGTCCTAAAGGTATTTTTTCAGCATATCATAAGTTCAAATGGTCATTAACGGGACAATTATTTAGTGAGATAGTCTTGAGATAGCCTTGAACATGAACATTTACCCAACGTCAGTTGGAAAAGTTCTTTGTCTTCCACCACTGAAGTTCTGGATATCTTTTCTATCACTACGCTCCATCTTATCTAAGACAGCCGTGTTCCAAGAGGCAAAGCCCTCAAATACAACTGCCCATCAAAACCTTGGGGACTTCCCCAGGCCCCCTCAGAAACCATCAAGTGCCTTAGGTTGACTAAATCAGGTGTATCCTCCATACAAAAATTGGCACAAGGAATCAACTACATAGCGAAGGGGTAGGCAACCTTGGCTCTTTTATGACTCGTGGACTTCAACTCCCAGAATTCCTGAGCCAGCATGGCTCAGCTTGGAAACCTCTCCCTTTCCCCTCAGCATGGCTGACTCAGGAATTCTGGGAGTTGAAGTCCACGAGTCATAAAAGAGCCAAGGTTGCCTACCCCTGCCATAGGGAGAGGAGAGACTCATATTTACTGAGATAAAACCGAGATCCCATCTACACCTTTCCATATGAATGCAACCTGTTATGACATGAATGCAACCCGTTATGACCAGGGACAATCCCACGGCTGTCGTGGTAGTCCTGAATTCCTGAAGAGCTCCTGACCTTTCACCCCATGATCTTATGGCAGTAGAACTTTCGATACGCAGATGATATACAAGCACATGGTTGTTCGCATAGATCAGGGGTATCCAAATTTGGCAATCTTAACCTTAATTGATGTAAGTCAGTGGCGTCCAACTTTGGCAACTTTTAAGACCTATGGACGTCAACTCCCAGAATTCCTCAGCCCACCAGCCAGCCATGCTGGGGAATTCTGGGAGTTGAGGTCCACAGGTCTTAAAAGTTGCCACAGTTGGACACCACTGACTTAGATCTATTAATGTTAACCAATCTAAGTCAGTGGTATCTAACCGTGGCAACTTTAGGACCTGTGAACTTCAACTCCCAGAGTCGCCCTGAGTCCTACGGGAGAAGGGCGGGATATAAATCCAATAAATAAATAAATAAATAAATAAATAAAATATATTCTGAAAAGTTTACAAATGTGGAACAGAAAGCTAGTAAACAGCGCTTTCCAACTAGCTGGAGAACGTTCTACCGTTTCTTCTAATAGGAATCAAGAGTATTTTAAAACAAAAGGCTGGTTTTATAATGTGTTGTTGTTATTAATTGCGAAGTCGTGTCCGACCCATCGCGACCCCATGGACAACGTTCCTCCAGGTCTTCCTGTCCTCTACCATCTTCTGGAGTCCCTTGAAGCTCACGCCTCCTGCTTCAGTGACTCCATCCAGCCACCTCATTCTCTGTCGTCCCCTTCTTCTCTTGCCCTCCATCTTTCCCAGCATTAGGCCCTTCTCCAGTGAGTCCTTCCTTCTCATTAGGTGGCCAAAGTATTTGAGTTTCAACTTCAGGATCTGGCCTTCTAAAGAGCAGTCAGGGTTGATCTCCTCTAGGACTGACCGGTTTGATCGTCTTGCAGTCCAGGGGACTCGCAGGAGTCTTCTCCACCACCATAGTTCAAAGGCCCCCCATTCTTTGTCACTCAGTCTTTCTTATGGTCCAACTTTCACAGCCATACATTGCAACTGGGAAAACCATGGCCTTGACTATACGTACCTTTGTTGGCAGGGTGATGTCTCTGCTTTTTCGTATGCTGTCTAGATTTGCCATAGCTTTCCTCCCCAGGAGCAAGCGTCTTTTAATTTCTTGGCTGCAGTCCCCATCTGAGGTGATCTTGGAGCCCAGGAAGATAAAATCTGTCACTACCTCCATTTCTTTCCCATCTAATTGCCAGGAATTGAGAGGGCCGGATGCCATGATTTTGGTTTTCTTAATGTTGAGTTTCAAGCCAACTTTTGCACTCTCCTTCTTCACCCGCATCAAGAGGCTCTTTAGTTCCTCTTCACTTTCTGCCATTAGAGTGGTATCATCTGCATATCTTAGGTTGTTGATATTTCTCCCGGCAATCTTAATTCCAACTTTTGAT